ACCTTTCCGTGATTTCAGACGCAGCGGCTTCTCTCCAGAACCTGTCCTTGGCCAGGTACGTGGTGAAGTGGGCTCCGCCAGGGACCGAGCCTAGTGGTCGCTTTAAGTGCTACGGGGTTTTGCACGGGAGGCCTGTGCGAGGGCTGACGTGGGCCTTGCAGACGCTTCCTGGGCGCCTGTGATGGTCCCGGTGCCGTGGGCCCGGACCCCGAGGAGCACCTCCTCTGAGCCCGTGTGGCCTGTAGTCGAAGGGAGGGGTGGTGGCGGTGGGTACTCGGGGAGTAAACGGGGCGGTCGTCGTAGGACGTGAGAGGTTAAGGGGAGATAGTTTGGCTGGGGGAGGACCAGCGTGGCGTCGTGCACTTTGGACAGTCGGTACAGGGATCATCTCAAAAGAAAGGAATGGTGTGCAGATGGGGGAGGCGGGGGCGTGCCCTCAGCACACGCGTGACTGTCTCCTTCCTCGCCGTCGCTGCCGAGTGTAGCCGCCCCGAGGGGCTCACAGTCTGGATGGAGAAGGTGGGAGCCCTCAGTGCTAACGCCTCGGGAGAGGTGCTAGAGAAAGAGCTGGGTCGGGGTGGCCCAGGGGAAGGGGAGGACGAGAGGGGCCGCAGGCACAGAAAGCCTGAAGCGCGGCTGTGTGGCGGGTGTGTGGGCGGCGAGGGCGGCAGGACAGGAGGCCGGAGAGGGCGCAGGGCTGGTCTCGGCTTTAGTAGCAACACTTCAAGGCTGACGTTGATCCTTGAGGGTGCTTTTTTTTTTAATCGAGGAAGCCATTCAACTGCTCATGTTTTAGGAAGCCGTTCCTGGGGTGGGAGAGTGAACTGGAGGGGGAATACTGGACACAAGCAGGGAGGCCGGAGGAAACGGTGAGACCGGGGCCGAGTGCGGCGATATTGTGCGAAGAGGTGAAGGTGACAGGATCTAGTGGAGGATGGTTCCCGGGAGGGGACGATGCACGTGGCGTGGCAGTCCACACCGAGGTGTGCGAGACTGCCCCAATCCAGCCTGGGCTCTCCTGGCCCCGGACACGCGTGTCCGCCCGTCCTGGGGCTGCTGCTCTGCCTTTTCCTTCCCCCTCCTCCCAGGGCACGGCCTTGTGTGCCGTGCTGAGCAGCAGTGAGGAGACGTGGGGAGCCTCCCAGCCACGCTGCTGTGGCAGACCCCTCTCTGGGGACAGGCTGAGGCCCGGCCCGCGAGCACCTCCTTGGGGCATGTCCGTCACGTGTCAGCCGTGGGTTGTTGAGGTGTTTAAGCGACAGTGAGGAGCACGTCTTTTGGAAGGAAATGAGTTCGGTCCTGGGCCTGTGAGAGCAGGCGGGCGGCAGTGTGGTCTCGGGAGAGACAGGGCTGGGGTCCCGATGGCAGTTGTCACCCAGAGCTCTGCACGGAGCGGGTTGGCTGAGTTGCCCGCGCTGCTCCCCACGGAAGACCCCTGCGCCGCGGGGAGGGCGAGGCTGAGGGAGGTCAGGGTCAGAGCCGCGCCCAGCGTCCGGGTCCTGCCCGCGGAGCCTTGGCCGTGTAGGCCTGGGAACGGGCGCTGCTGCATCGTTCTCACCTGTGGAGAGGCTGGCGAGACCCCCTCCCCCGGAGCGCACGGGCCCCACGGCTTCTGCCCCTGCTTCTAGGACCACAGGCATGGATGCCGAGGCCGGTCCTGCCTGGTCTTGCCCGGAGCCCCTCTCCGCCCTGACCCTGGGCCGCCTCCCGCCTCCTGGGTTACTGTGAGCGTTAGAAGCAGTACACGAGGAGCCCCTTAGAGGGGGTGAAGGCCAGGGTGGGTGGGCCTCGCGGGGACCTTCCTGTGGGGCGGGGACGCAGTCGGAGGGTCTGTGCACCTGGCGACCACGCACACTTAGAAGTGTGTTAGGTCCCCTGAGAAAGGGGGCAGGGGAAACGGACGGCAGGCACAGGAGGGACCACTTCGGATGGATAGGATATCTTAAAATAGAAATGCGGAATATGAGGGGGCTCTCCGTCCCTAGTGTCCCTCCTGGGGAGGTGGACCCTTCAGTAGACAGCGTTGGGATTGAGTGACGCGCTGGAAAAACGTAATTGCATCTCACTCCCGTATGGAAATAAGTTCCAGATGACTCAGATTTAATGTAAAAAAATAAAGCCACAAAAACACACAACATGGTCAATTATATTTATACTCTTGAATGAAGAAGGTGTAGTTGGTAGCTTAAGAATCCCAAAGTCGTAAAAGAGGAGATGGATTAATTACATAATGATGTGCCATTTCTTTTTGGCAAAATTAAAAAAACAAAACAAAAACAGGGCAAACTGGAAGAAGATACTGACGACCCATGTGACAAAGGGCTTATTTTCTCAAGAGCAGACCAGCAAGAAAAAGGGGAGAGGGGCCAGGGGCGGTCCCCAGGGAGGGGAGTCACGTGACCCAGCGCTGCCCCGTGGGCTGGTTCGCAGCAGGCCTCCGTGAGCTGCGGCGTGGGGAGGAAGGCGAGGTGAGCGGGTTCCGCCCTGAGGGAGGACCCGGGTGTGAGCCCGCCCGCCGCCCGCCGCCCGCCGCCCGCGGGGCTGTGTCCGGGTGCTCT